CGGCCGCGCTTTACCCCCCAGGAAAATTATTTAATTAATTCCTGGTACTCATTTCTGTTAGAGGTTGAGTCGACCCCAGGGCCGTAGTACAGCTGGAAGGATTAGGTAAATAGAAGAAATTTCAATGACCTCATCGGGATTCTATCCCGCGACCTTCCGGCTTGTAGCATAGCCCCTCANTCGGAGTTCTGAGTCCCGGTGGGGGCAAGAATTTTTACCTCTCCATATCGCCCAGACCGGCTCTGGGGCCCACCAGCCTCTATCCATGGGATACCGGGGGAAAGCAGCCGGGACATGAAGCTGACCACTCACTTCCAACTAGTGCCGAGGTCAAGAAAATTTGGGTCTATACAACCACTACCTCAGACGCCTTCATGGCGTAGTGCTTAATTAGTTAAGCACAAGGACAAATTTACCTTTATCATTATTATTAGTAGTAGTAGTAGTAGTAGTAGTAGTAGTAGTATGGAACATAAGTCACCAAAAAGAATAACGGGAATAATGTCACCACAGTTGCACCTACTTCGTTATTAAGCTAATCATCCACTGTGATATATTCAACATGACTGGTGCATTGATCGAATGCTCTATAAAAAGAGTAAAGATCTGTGATTATATTTTTGATGTCAGGCTGTTTGAAAACTGGAGAAAATTACCGAAGAATATCAGTTGAACACGACAGAATGGGCCAGAGAAAATTTAACGGATGTATTGAAAGATTCAAAGCAAGGTGGAGCAATGGCTGTTGCTTATGTGCCCTCGAGTTGACGTCAGCTGTTACGTGTCTTTAACGTTAACGAGAATTTGAAAGTATTTGGAAAAGCCGATTGCAAGAATTGATGAAATTATATCTTAAATTGCCATGATAAAGTGTTCAAGACAGACTTAAAAATCTAACGGATTTTTTTTTTCCGAGGCAGTCAGAAAACTCTTGGACAGTTGGGTTAAATACATTAAAATGCTTAAAAATAACATCGGACTCTCTATTATATGATTATTTTATAAAAACGTATGAATATGGGCTTCTGTTTTTGCTTCTCTCCGTAGACAGCGAGATTACATTTTCAGCTTTTAAATTAAACCATGAAACTACTGACATGTTCTTTATTTATGGATTAGACTCACCTTGTGCTTATTCTTAAATCCTCCTGCAACCAATGCTATGCTCAGAGACAATACGAGTTACCAGTGAATATGTTACCCTGTTCAGATATAGCTCCGAATATGGTAAGGACAGTTGCACCCCACGAATGATCATAGGCCGACTTGGAGGAATGGTGTCCATCGCTCTGCTGGCGGTACTCTAGCCACTTGACTAGATGGATTGTGGCCGCCATGAGCACCCATGAGAGCAGGATACATAGCCACACGGTGCTGGTGAATGGTTTCAGTAGAGAGTAACTGGTCCCTGTAGTCCGTGGATGACGAAACAGAAGGGATCCCCTGTACACATAAGCACGTATTACAAGGCGTTTGTGAATAAGAATTAATGCGGAGAGCTTTTTCATTAAATGGTTCAATACATGCGTGTATGACGAGGCAAAAGAGAAGTACGTGTATAAATTAATGATCTTGCAATTCTCATTTTGTGCATCCTGTTGTGTTATTATTTAAAGTTATTTGTTAGTGTATGAAAATAGTAATCATGTGTTTGCCTGATGATGGTTTCAAAAGCCGAAACCTGTTGCTAAGGTAATTTTTTGGCCGCGCCGTAGCTCAAGCGGTTAGTCGCTGGCTTCCAACCGCGGCGGCCCGGGTTCGATCCCAGGTCTGGTCAAGTGGGATTTGTGGTGGACAAAGTGGTGCTGATGCAGGTTTCCTCCGAATACTTCGGTTTCCTCTGCCAATCTTCATTCCATCAATTGTTCCACAATCACCCTCACCTATCATCTGGGGCTGGTACAATAGGCCAGAAGTGGCCGCAGTACAAGGGACGTAGTCCCACCCCACTAGCAATAAAAAAAGTAATTTTAACCGTGACCGTTATGTTGTTTTACGACGGATTCCAACAAAGAATTGTAATAATTTTTCAATTTAGTGATCCATTTTGTATGCGTCATTTACGTTAAGGACAGAGTAATTTTGTTGTATTTAACCTCAGGATTTCTCATAGTTACCGTGTTTATGACTGTAGACACGCAAAGAACATTTAATGCGGACGTTACGTGATTATTTAGTCAGAATTTATAGCAGAATTGTCCCTAGTTTTTTTTACATATCTTGGAATATTCCTGATAAAGCCAGACAATTTTCTATCGCTGTCTCGTCCAAAATGGAATTAGAGATTATCCAGCCTCCCATTGGAACCGAGAATACATTTTTCGAGAATAGAGCAACTGATCGGCTACAATTTAGTGCCGAGGTTAAGAATAGATGGACCATACCTTCACTCCCCAATACTTGGTAGTTGCACGATTCCTGTCACGAGACAGAAAAATATGATCGTGAGTTCCGCGAGACCCGGAAGCAAGAGTGACTGGGCTGGCGAGGTCCAGCAGCAATTTACCCGACCCAACCCGCCCCTACCCCAGAAGTCTTCATGGCGTGGTGCTTAATTAAGGACAGGGATTTTACCTGTGTATTAAGAAGGTGGTAGTTTCTAATCTCGGCCACGACATAGGCTATTCTGACAGATTTTCATGGTTTTCTTCAGTCTCCAAGAACATGCTTGGATATCTCGATTAGGCCACGGTCGCTTACTTCCAAATCCTTTCCAATTTATCAATCATTCGACGCTACAATGTATATACTGACTGTATCGTAAAATACGAGGGGGGTACCCAAAAGAAACCGAACTTATTTTTTTTAAACTTATTTATTCAAATTTTAAGCACAAACCTTCAATCCCCTTCAAAGTACTCTCCACTTACACTAATACACTTGTCTAGTCTTTTATTCCATTTTTCAAAACATTGTCTAAATTCATCTTTTGAGATGCTTGACAGCGCCTCCGTCGTTTTTTCCTTTCATATCTCTTTTCATTCGAGGGAAAAAAAAAAAAGTCGCACGGGGCAAGGTCGGGTGAGTATGGAGGGTGAGGAACAGGGGTCATACCATTTTTGGTCAAGAATTGTCGTACAGACAGGGCTGTGTGAGCAGGGGCATTGTCATGATGGAAAAACCAGTCACCCGACTGCCACAAATCTGGCCGCTGAGCTCCAAGTCACTCCCGACAGCTCCACAATTTCTTCAATGGTCCGTCGTCGATCTTCCTTGATGATTTCACGAATTTTTTCAACATTTTCATGTGTTCGGGCCGTGGAAGGACGACCAGAACGAGGTTTGTCATCAATTGACATTTCACCATTTTTGAAACGGGAAAACCACTCAAACACTTGAGTTTTCCCCATAGCATCGTCCTTGTACGCCGTTTTTAACATTTCAAGAGTTTCTGTTCCACTTTTCCCGAGCAAAAAGCAGAATTTCACCGCCGCACGCTGTTCACGAAAATGAGCCATTGCAAAAACGACGATCACACAAAACAGTTGTCACTATAAACTCTGCCGAAACTAGTCCTTACCTTCTGAAGCAACGGTAGTCGGCTTATCGACTCAGGAATGTTAGCTCTATGCGCTCATGGCGGCAAAACGCGGTACTACAAAAGCTCTGCCCACAAAAAAAAATAGTTCGGTTTCTTTTGGGTACCCCATCGTATACCATATACAAAACTTTACTATACCTGCATATGTTACTACGTTTACGATGTACAGTACAGTTCTAAGCTGTAACATTGTCAAGTCTGAATCATGAAGGCCTCTTAGCTAATCTCCTACGGACGGAAACGAACAATAATCAATTTGAAACGAAAGTGTTATTACTAATTACATCTCGATTAACTAGATAGTTTTTTATTTATTTACGCATTTGACGGTCCAGAAATGGTCACGGACCTGAATTTCCATGTCGGTCCAGTGAAATCGACAACTGCGAGACGCCGAGGCGACATGGTCAGTGACGTGATGCCAAGTTGTGCTTCCCGCCTCTGTAGCATGCCCAGCATCCCGTCAAATTGGCCACTTGAATCAGGGTAACCGTGAGAAAAAGTGACATGGATTTGCATCCTGGAGAAAGACGAAAGGCAATTTCCGAGGTTTCAGCATGAATATAGTAATAAACAGCACAGATTGTGTTGTTGGAATGATGCGATTACAAGGATTAAACTGTATCAAATGAAAATCCTGGTTCAAGTGAGCTCCCAAATCCATGAGATCCCACTGCTGGACCCCATACATCCAGTATTGCAATTTCTCTGCATTTCATATTTATTTTATGAAAAAATAAATAAAGTGGCCTTTATGCTTAACTGCACTCCTCGAAACTACTGAGGAGGGTGCACAGGTAATTTTCGATGATTCTGGGTATCTGCTTCGTGTGGAAGTTGGTCAGCTTCACGTGGCCAACTGAGTCCACGCCCAGGTAAAGTGTACCAGTATCCTTTGGAGGTTGCGAGCGCTGAGAACCATTCTGGGCATCATGGCGTAGTGCTGTAGTAGCAGCAGCAGTAGTAGTAGTAAATGGAACGATAACAGAACTAAAGAATGATACTGTACAATAATTATTGAGCTGGGATGGCTCAGTCGGTATAGAGGCTTGGTAGGGGCAGAAATTTTCACTTCTTCATGTCGTCCAGACCGCCTCTGGGACTCACCTATCCTCCTAGCCAAAGGGTACCCGGGACTCTTTCCCCGCGGTTAAAACGGTCGGGGCGTGAAGCTTACCACTCACGTCCAACTATAGTGCCGAGATCAACAAAACGTGAGTCTACACATCCACACTCCCACAGCTTTTTCATTTTTACTGTACAGTTATTATATTTTGAGCTTCAAAGCTCAGTAATAACCTTATCTGTCTACTGATACATTTGCTGTTATCCGGCAGCCTCCACACGCTTCATGAACTGAAGCCGTTCTGAGAAGCTGACAATCGCAGAATTAAAACATCTGTGTATAACACAGTCCGTCAATAATGCAACAGATTGTTCCTTTTTCTTCCACTTTTACTTTAACACAACATGTTTCGGCCTTAGATGGTCATCTTCAGGTGTCTTAATGTATCAAAACTGCTTCACTACATTAATATTCGCAGAATTTGTTGCATTATTGACGGACTGTGGATACATAGACGTTTTAATATGGCTTGCAACAGGATGCTTAAATACGGAATATTTGAATTGTTCAGTAAATGTCTCGCTTTTTGCGAAATCCGAACTTTCGTTATTGTGTTCACGCGAACCCATCCTTGGACCATACTTTGATCCAGTTAAATTGATTACACACTCCCATAAATGTGTATTCAAGATCCACTTTAATATTACACCCTGATTTATGCAACTAGTGTTTGACATTTATTAAAACCTTAGTCATAAAGTTCTGTGCAGTTGGAAATATCAGTGGCAGGGTCATTTTCAAGTGTTTCATATACGTACGTGAAATTAAATGTTTCTCCAAGTTGGCGGTGAAGCGCGTAATTGTATTTCGCAATGGAGTCCACGTGTCTGTCCACCGAACTGCTGAGCCTGTGTACTATGTCATCCTCAGGCGTGAGGGTCACCTGGGACATTAAATATGCAATATAACGAAGTTGAAAATCCTTTGTAACTGCTATATGTATCAGTCCGCTATCACAACACAATTATAAATAAAAAGCTGAAGACGCGACTATTGTCGATGAACTCAGTATTTATTTACTAAACGTACTCGCTATATATCTGGACCATGTACGTGGTGTGACAATGAAGTTCTTGAACTCATCGCCGTAAAAGTGCTACATACTTAATTGCTAATATTACTGTGGTCACCTTCAAATTACTCCCCTTGGGAAGCTATGAACCGATGCCAGCGCCTAGTCCACCCTTCAAAACAATTTTGGAACTGGTTTGTGAAATGGCCTTCATAACTGCCGTCGTATTACTCCTGATGTTATCAGTGTCATCAAAATGACTTCCTTTCAATAATTCCTTTATCTTGGGGTACAGAAAAACATTACTTGGGCTAGATCCGGTGAATAGGAAGGATGTTCCAGCACAGTTATTTGTTTACTGGCTGAAAACTCCCTCACAGACAGTGCTCTAATTCTCAAGCTCCGACATTCTCGTGACGGCGCACCAAAACACACTCAGACAATAACAGACGCCACTCAGAAAGAGACTGCCATGGATCAACAACAACACAGCTGTGAAACGCTGATTTGCGAACGTCATGAAACCATACTGAGATTTCTGTCCGCTGCTGCAACTGCAAGCACACGGTGGCGAGTTCGCAAGCTTTATTGTCAGACCTCGTATGCTCATTATCAGGCGTTTAATATAGTAATAATTTTGTCAACATACATCACTGGACTGCATATTACAGTGGATCCATTGTTACTAGTCCCATCTTGAAAATGGTGTACTCCGTAATGTAGCACAGAAAATTCCTAACTGAGTTGCATGCAGTTTGTTAGGTTCTTAGTCCGTTCATGTCGTTTACGACTTATACATGAAAAGTTATTTTATGCCATTAAATGGAGTTCTTATGGGTCAGTATGACAAAATCGGAACTTCTAGTGAAAGTGTCCCATACCGAATTTGTGAGTCCCACTCTACAGGCACTGATATCCGGTCACAGACAGATGGACAGCCATGACTTTAAGTAATCTGTGCAAATACCTCTCCAACATGAAATTTAATTGAAATTAGTCCAAAAGTTCTCAACTTGTGAGATGACATAGAAAACATTTTCTTTTGTTTAATTATTTCGAAATGCACGAGACCTACAAAATAGCCCTATTGGCATAAGGTGGTATTCGAAGTTTCTGTTCACAATTACCACACGCTTAAAAAAACTTTCTGAGTTTTTTACTTTCCTGCCTATATCTTTCATTTCAGAAACCAAACAGCTTAAGAGAACTCACTACAATGGTCCCTATAACTCGGCCAATTTTGTAACAATTCCTGTACCTAAACCTATATTCATCGGCTTATAACCATTTCTATATCATTCTAAGCCTATTCATAATCTACAAATTAATCAACTTTTCTACAGTTAAGCCCTACACGATCCTGAAATTTCAACAGCTCTGTACTCTTTTGTGCATGATCGTACAAACACGCAAATTTTGATGCATAATCCCTAATTTTCAACAAATGTGTGCTCTTGATCATATTCCCACGACCCTGCAAATTTATCAGCCTTGTAACCGTTTTATATGAAGTGGCAGTGAAGTGGCAGTAAAGCAAAGTGGAGTGGAATGAAGTGAAGTGAAGTGAAGTTGGATAAAGGGAAAGTCATTGTGAAATGTGGGCGCATCAGAACTTGACATTACACATTCCAGTACTATTACTGTTTAGTGTATAGTATATTTATTCTTTTATTAATATTAATTTATATAACTGTAGTTGTAATTGTATTTGTTATAGTAGTAAGTATATTTTCATTGTATTTACTGTGTTCAAATGTGTTCTTTGTTGTTTGTGTAGTTTGTATGCTGTATTTTATTTTAGTGTGGTGTGTTATTTTGTGTTATGTGTATATTTGTGTGTTGTGTCTTATTTTAGTACCACTGCCACCGGGGAAAACCCCATTTGCAGTTTAAATCAATAATAAACAATAATAAAATTGATTAATTTTGTAACTTTTTCTTGTTTCAGTGCTCATAATGCAGAGATGCTATTCCACCTTCTTACCGCAACAGCTGTGTTGAAGACCAGACCCTGCAAATCTCCTCTTCGTAAGTATTTGAACTGAGTGAGAGTATATGTCAGACCACTGACTCTGTCCCACTGACCAGCAAATGTTGAAATCATTGGCCAAGTGTAGTTTACTTTATATATATCGTACAACATCACCGGCCCATCAGAAGATTCAGATTGGGGAGTCGCCCAGGTTACTTCGCTATCAGTGTTCAGATTAGAGTGCTGCATTTCTGTCTCTGAAGGTTTGTCCATGCTCCAGATCAGCCAGTTAAAGCCTGCGCTCAGAAAATTATTTGCAGATATCTGGAAGCAGATAAAGCTTATTGATTTTAGTGAGAAGAATATAAATCATTATTTGAATTTCATATTCAAATACGTAGCAGAAATTAAATTATATTCGAAATGTATCATAATTTGAATTATTCTGTCCAAAGACTTAGCTAGAAGAATATAAGCTTAAATCTTAATTTGGATGTGTACCTAGAGAAATGGTCAGTACTCATTCCTGCTTTAAGCCAAAGTTGTAGATTGAATTTTGTAACATAGGCATAGTGGATATTCACTTGAGCCATGAGGCTATCAAGCGTAGTTTTAGTCTGTACGCAAGGAAATTTGTCTCAAATTTGAGGTGCCGGTAGAGGTTTTTATCCGGCTGCAACCAAAGAACTGAGTTAATGCCCATATTAATTGTAGCGTAGGTGTGTCTGCTTGTTACCATTCAGTTTCGAATGCTTTATCTTCGCAGTTCTTGTGTAAACCCTAAAATACACGAAACTACTAGTTTACTTGCAGCTGTAAGTGAGATTGAACCCTAGCTTCTCACTATAATAGGAGAGGGTATTTGAGAGTAGGCTGCTGAGAAAACTCTCTTGACCAGAGAAAGGAAGTGACACCAGATTAAAAAGAAAAAAACTAAATAAGAGCTCCGCCATTTATACTCTTTACCAGTAATACTAGAGTTATCAGTCAAGGAAGAAGGGGTGTACGAAAGATGTAGAACGCATGGGGGTGATTGTCAGTGCATAATTAACGTTGCTAGGAATGACTGAATGGAAGATACCTAAGAATAGGTGGAAGAGTAGTAGTAAAATTTGCTTTAAAGAATTAGGGTGTGAAGATGTGGACTGAAATCAACTGCCTCAGGATATGGTCCAATGGCGACCTTCTGTGTATGTGGTAAAGAACATACAGAATGCATAATGGGCGAGGAATTTCTTGACCAGCTGCGTAGTTGCCCGCTTTCTCAAAAAAGGACTCTGTTCCACGGGATTAGCTTCAAAGTACAAGTTAGTTTCATAATGGCTTATCCGGCTTTGCGCATAGTTCATTAATGCTGGAAAGTCTTTGTTTTATAGTGGCGTTTAACTGTAGTATACATAGGTCGGATAAAAAATAGTGGCAACACCTCTATAGTTCGGAAATGACTTTATTGCCTGAAGTAAACACACTTACATTCTTTCAATATAATCGTCCCCCGTGTATACCACCTTCTGCCAAATTTGTGGAAGGCGTCGTACACCATCGGCGCGTCCACTTCTGTCGATGTCCAGCAGTGACCGCCCTACAGCACGAATAATCTCATCTCTTGTGTTGTAACGTGTCCCTCACATTGGTTCTTTCATTTTGCCAAAGCGATCATAATCGCACGGACCCATATCGGGTGAGTATGGCGGATGTTGCAGTATCTCCCATCGCCAGCAGCGAAGGAGATCCTTGACAGCGTCAGCAGTATGAGCCCTTGCATTGTCATGAAGGATGATGTGGTTCGTTGCCAACAAGTGTCGTCGCTTTCTCCTGAGTACTGGACGAAGATGATTACGCAGGAAATTGCAGTAGTAGGCAGCGTTTACTGTCTGTTTTGAGGTACAGTGTGGTGTAGTATCACTCCACAATGAACGTTGCTTTCACATTACTCTGTGTAGGGCGCACTTTCTTTGGATGAGGAGAGCCAGGATGCTTCCATACATTTGATTGTCGCTTCAAGTGCGGTTCGTATGAGCGAGCCCAAGTTTCGGCCAGAGTGACGATCCTTCCAAGGAAGTCGTCACCTTCCTTCTGGTACCGGTCCAACAAGTCCTGTGCAGTTGCATAAGGTTGCCATTGTTGCACCTCGAACATTGTATGGAGTACCCAACGCGCTACAATTTTGCGGTATCCAAGAATATCATGCAGAATGTGGAGCACGGTTTTGTGACACACGCCTACCTCAGCAGAACTCCCGCGCAGCCCCTCGACGATCGACATCCAGAAAAGAAGCAAGAAGATGAATTGTGTGGTTGTCAACATGGGGTCGTCCTGAATGGCATCCCTCCCTTCACGGAACAATTTCACCCACCGTGCCACTGTGCAATATGGCAGCATCACCACATGTATCTCGCAGTCCCTGATAACAGTTTTGTGCATTACGACCTCGTGAAACTTCAATTTTTATCCAGGAGCGTTGTTCTTGTTTCGTAAACATGTTGTTAGGGTTCTTGAACTGGGCTCCTACACTTCAAGACGATGCACAATGCAACTCAATGAAACACAACCAGAGCCACTCAATGCAATACTTCAACTGAACTTCTGCTATCAGCTACAGACGGCGCTAGTGCCACCTGACGCACATATTTCATGTTACAACAGTATTGCCACTACATTTTATCCAACCCTTATGAAGCAAATGGCAACAGTATGTCGTCAAGTTTTCAACGGGTACATCTTAATGAACTCGCCGTAATATCGTGTAGTACGTATCTGATATTAAAACTTCATAAAAGAGAGCGATCCAAATTAATGCCCATACTGTAATTAGTTGTATATAATAGTCTGAGGACATTATTGATCGGTTAGCGTCATGTCCTTTCTATGGAACCCAAATGCAGAATTACTTTCAGTTTCTTGCGATAGGTCTAGAAGGCGGAGGGAATAACCGCAGGTTTCAGTGTCGACCTTTGCCAAAGTAGGATAAATCTGCGATTCTTCCAGCTCTTTTAAGTTCATAGCATACGTAGCATGATTTCGGAGTGTCCCTTAAGTACTAAATACATGACTACATCAGCAGAAGCGTTGTGCGAAGAAACCAAAGAGATTAGAATAGTCAAATTTTCGTTGGGAATTTTCAAGTGGTATTATGCTAGGAAAGAATTCTGTCATGGCAGAACCCGTGCACTTAAATAATTCTCATTCCACCTTACAAAGTCTTGTTTAACTTACCAGTGTAAATATGTCCTTGTTAATTGCACAGTCGTGGTCAAGGAACACGCCGTGAACGTGGTTAGTATCCTTCAAAATATTATGTGTCCATTTTACTTCTTTGTGAAGATTTCCTTGTTCTGGGGTAACTGACACCGTCAAAAACTTTCCGGAAGACGATAATTTCTTCATAAGTGACTGTGCGTCTGAAAAACGGAAATCCATGCGGTGATCAGTAATAGAAGAAAACAAACTGCAGGGCAAGGTGCTGCTACATCCGCGAAGAAATGTAGTACGTCTCGAATTCTTGAAAGAACATAAAGTTTTCAGATTTATGCAAAATAACGAGTTTAGAATTGTAATAAAATTAAACTACAGTTACACATTCCGGTCACAGTAGCCGAGCGGTTTAAGGCATGCACTGTCTCCGCTCGCTCGAAAGCCGGTATCGTGGGTTCGAATCCCACTCATGGCATGGATGTTCGGTGTTTGTGTGTGTGCGCGTTTTTCTGTCTTTGTCTACAGGTAGAGGCCTTGCGACGAGCTGATCACCCGCCCAAGGAGTCCTACCGAATGTCTAAGTTCTAGTAAACCGAAGTGAAACGGAGAGTTTCGTGGAGGTAGGCCAAGCCCCAAATTGGGGCTGTAGCGCCAAAGAAAAAAAATAATGAGAGATAACCTCGTACTCTGAGCAAGTTCGGAGGGAGAATAAAAATGCATGCAATATTTTAGGGGGAAATCTGAAATGGACCAGTTGGGAGTGGATTTTAGAGAAGTAGATTATGAGGGTGTGGACTAGATTGAACTGACTCAGGATATGGTTCCGTGGAACGCTATGGTAAAGGCGGTAATGAACCTCCGTGTTTCCCAGAAATGCGGAGAATATTTGACCACCTAAGCGAGTATCATCTTGGCAAGAAGGACTTTATTCCATGGACATAACCAATAAATTAATCACACCAAGAAGGTTTGTTCAGCGGTAGTGCAGATGAACCGGGTTCAGAAAGCTGCCGTCAACTGACTATCTTGACGGAGAGTACCTTTATACAATCTGTCCTGGTCGATGTAGAGTTACTGCCTTAAAATAAACAGATCCGGTCTTCCCATTTTCTCTTCTTTCGTCGGTCATGATCATCCTGTCGCATGTAACCTCAACTGCCGTAGGCCGCGCCATAGCTCAGGCGGTTAGTCGCTGGCTACCCACCGCGACGGCTCGGGTTCGAGCCCGGGTCCGGTCATGTGGGATTTGTGGTGGTCAAAATGGCACTGGGGCAAGTTTTCTCCGAGTCCCCCCACCGGTATATGACGCCAGATCCAGAAGGCTACACAGGCCATGACCGACTAACATAACAACCCCCCCCCCCCCTCAGCTTACTTGTTAGTGCCCAGCCTTTAAGCTTGCCTTTCTCTACCCAACACAAAAACCATGCTTGTCCCAGCTCCTTTGCCCCCCTCCCAAACTACTGTTTTCACTTGTATACTTGCCCTTCCCCCCTTCCTTCTCTGCTCACATAGCTGTGTATATTTCTAACACCAGTCTGCTTTTACCGGTTCTCACGGTCTCTTCGCTTGCGGTTTTCTCATATTTTTCTTCTACCCTGAAGATGGAGGCGATATGTTCTCCGAAACCTCGGTTAACACAACATATACATGGTGCCAAATCCCANTCAGTTGATTACTCCAGTGACCTCGTCGTGAATCGAACCCGCGATTTTCAGGCTTGTAGCATAGTGCCTCAATCAACTACCCTACCGCGTGCCCCCACTNAAATTTGAAACTGACTTCGCCGAAAGTTGGATGAAGACTCCTTGAGATGGAATGCACTCTCTCTGAATCCTGAGGTCCACGAACCCCAGACTCCAGGAGATATCCACTCCTCCACTTTTGCCATTTTTAATGTTGTAATGTGGTTCGTTTACGTTCGCGTGTGTGAGGAT